AGTTGTGGAGGATGTCGCTTCACTGGCCCATGTTGGTATTATCATTGTGCTCTTCCTAGGTGAGGCAGTTGCTTGCCAGCCATTAGATGGCCACTCACAGAGGCTCTTGGCAGCTCACACCGGCTGCCAGCCACTCAGGGTAGCTTATGGCAGCCCAGATCCAGGTTGAGCTGTTGTTCACCATCTTAGCTGTAGAGTGCACAGCATCACTGGCCCATGTGGGATCCAAACCGGGGCCCTGCTGCTCAGAGCTGGCATCCCAAGCCAAATCTTTTTTTTTTTTTTTTTTTAAAGATTTTATTGGGGAAGTGGAGGAGGGGAACAGAGTTGGGTAATCAGGGAAGGGGAACAGATAAGTTGCTGTCCTTTTGTTCTTCAGTCTTGTTGTGGAAGACGTTGCTTCACTGGCCCATGTTGGTATTATCATAGTATTATCATTGTGCTCTTCCCGGGTGAGGCAGATCAGTTGCCGGCCACTGGACGGCCGCTCATGGCGGCTCTTGGCAGCTCACGGTAACTTACGGGAGCCCACTGCAGCTCCACTGCAGCCTACGCTGTCACCAACTCATGGCAGCCCAGCTCCAGGTCGAGCTGTTGTTCACCATCTTAGCTGTAGAGGACGCAGCGTCACTGGCCCTCATGTGGGATCCGAATCAGGGCCCTGCTGCTCAGAGCTGGCATCCCAAGCCAACTCTTAACCAATGCACCACTTGGCTGGCTCTCAGGCTTAACTCTTAATCAATAAACAAAAGATGTACATAATAGTAAATGGATGACAAACATGAATGAACAAATTCATAAAAAGTTTGCAAATACATTTTACAAGTTCAATGATGTATAAATTAAATTAAGATATCACATTTTAGTGATTACTTTAGCAAACATTAAATAACACTCCTATCCCTGAGGAAAGCTTCCAACATGGAAACAAAAATTCTTGCATTGTTAGGAAAGTAATACAGTTTTCTGGTGGGGGCTATTTTTCATTAACCATCAAAAGCTTTAAAAATATATTGGCAAGGAAATACTGATGATTGCAAGCTGGGGCGGGAGAGGAATGAGGGAGAAGGGGAAGGGACGAGACAACATAAATCGGTAACTACAATATTGCCTCAGGGATAGAAAAGACAGTTTGGGGAATATAATCAATAATGTTGTAAATATTTTTTAGGGGGCCAAATGGTCTCATGTCTTGTCACGGAGACCACTTGATGGATAATGTAGAGGCCTGACCACTGCACTGTACATCTGAAGCTGCCGTTTAATAATATTATATGTCAACTGTAATTTAATACATATATAGTCATGGGATGTGGAGTATAGTGTGGGAATGGAGTCAATGGAATTGTAATAGATATGTATGATATCAGGGATAGGGGGCAGTGGATGGGGGGGGGTTGTCACTTTGTAAGGGGTGAAAAGGATAACTATTGCATTGTTTTGTACACCTGAAACTAATAATAAAAAAACCAAAACATGTTGGCATATTGATTTAGCAATTCCACCTATAGAAACTATTCTCAAGAAAATAAGACAAGTATGCCAAATTTAAAATATTCAGAGAAACTTGTTTATAATTATAAAAACTAGAAAAACCTCCAACAAGCTATTAATAAATACAATATAAAAATAAGTAGCTAATTATATTTGACATGAGCTAATACATAATGTATATATATAACATATATTTTTAACTCATATAATACTATATGAAGATGAATTGTCAAATGCTTCCCCCCACTCCAAGTCAAAAATAAGACAAGGCTTTATACTCCTACCACTTCTGTTCAAGATTGTATTAGAAAAAGAAATAAAAAGATGATTTGTAAGGCCAAAATATTTCCATTATAATAATGACTATTTGCCCTTTTCACATTGTTGGCGTTTGTACTACTGGTGCAAAGGCACTGATGGGTAAAATTGCTGACAGTGGAACCAAATTGTTCTAGTCAAGTTTCTTCACTATCTCACACTTACAGAAAAGAAAGAAAAAGTTGTCATCTGACTTATAGCTGTTATTGTAACACCAGCTGGTCAATACAATTCTGATGCTAACTATCCATGTGGAGTTAGCATCAGGCCCCAGAGGTTTAAAAGCGCAGTTCCCAACATGGCTGCCCTCACTTCAGATGCCACCCGTACTTCTGGTAGGTTCCTAGACACCCCTTGGGTTTGATATTTGCTAGAATGACTCACACAACTCAGGAAAGTTCTATCCTTTCGATCACTGTTTTATGACAAAGGATACAAATCAGGACCAGCCAAATAAAGAGACATATAGGATGAGGTCTGGAAGGGTCCCAAATGCAGAGGATCTGTGCCCACTCTCCATGGAATCAGGTGGCATCATCCACCTGGCACACCAATGAGTTCACCCACCAGGAGGCTGCACTGAGGTTCAGGGTAGAGTTTATATCGATGTTTCATTGTGTAGGCAGGACTGGTAGAATTGTTCACTGCATGTGATTAAACTCAATCTCCAGCCTCCCTCTCCCGCTCAAAGCCCCAACACTCTAATCACGTGGTTGGTCTTTCTGGTGACCCTCCCTCAGCCTTAGCCATCTCATCTCAGCACAAATTTAAGTATGATCTAAAGGGCTCAGAAATAGAAAAGACATTCCTATTACTTGGGAAATTCCAAGGATTTAGTCTTTCTCTCAAGAACCAGGGACAAAAGCCACTGAATTTATTATACAACAGATGTCCTTTATGAAACAGTAAAATTAATATTAATTTTGCTAAATTTCATCCTTTGACTACACCTTAATATTCTGTATGATGAAGAGGAAAATATGCATAAACCACTTCTGTTTCATTCCAAAGTATAATGGTTGTCCTAAGTGGAACAGCACTTGCAAAATTGTTGCATTGTAAGCTGACCTACCTTT